CGGTGGCGCAGCGGTTGAGCGCTGGGTTGCAAAGCTGCCCGCAGCCTCTGCAGCGCCGGTTTGATCCCTGGCTGCTCCCCGGGCACTGGAGGAGGGTCCCACATGGCATGCAAACCTCTCCTGCTGCCCATTGCTCCCCTCAGCAGTGTACTTCGGTCCTTCTGCTTGCTCTGCTCCCTGCTCTGGCTCTGGTTAATTTTCTCACCCTCCCGTGTTTCTGACTGTACCCAGTGCTTGTATAAATAAATAAATAAATAAATAAATCTTAAAAAAAAAAAAGAAAAGAAAAATATCAAATGGTTTCATTTGTTTTAGTCTTCTAGGGCAACATAATAAAAACCCAGTGTGGGGGGTTAAACTGAGGTCCTTTCATCCTTGGAATTTACTGGAATTTACATTTCCACAGTTCTGAAGGCTGGAAGTTCAGATCAAGGTGTCAGATGGGTTGCTTTCTCTAGAGATCTATGCTCTTTGGTTGTGTAAATGGCCACCTTCTTGCTTTGCCTTTGAATGAACTTTTTTTCCTATATGTGTGCACCTCTGGTGTCTCTACCTCCACTAAGTATGTGATTGGATTACGACTGCAACCTTCTGACTCATTTAATTTTAATTACCTTAAAGATCCTATCTCCAAATTCAGTCACACCGGAAGGCAGGGCTTCCACATGTGAATTTGGGGGTGTGGAGGCACAATGCAGTCCGGAATACATAACATTTTTTTCGTGTGTGACATATTTAAGCAGCATTTCAGTACACTAATATTATAAAAGCAATCCCTCACATTCTTGCAGTAATTTTTAGATTTCATTATTTAATTATTAGAGCTTGGACTCAGGTCTATGTTTCCTTGCTGCTGTTGCCTGGGTGATAGTCTCAACTGGTAGAAGCTAACTCATATTCCTTGACTCAAATAATGTAAATTGAGTTCTTCTCATATTCTGAATTCATCCATTTCGAATTTACCTTGGTGCCAAGTATGCACTATAGAGCCATTTTATCTTCTTTCCAGGTGGCTACCCCACAGTCCCAACACAACATATCTAATGATTAAAGAGAAGCAATTAGATGTAGTTTTGCCATAGACTAGATTAGACCTTTTAATATCAGAAAGGGAACCATAATTATGGAAATAGGATTTATTCTTACAATCAATAGTGAAAAAGCTACACCTCCCCCCACCCCAAACCCCTGGTGGCGCGGTGGTTAAAGTCTCAGTGTTATCAGGCTCTAGCCAGCCATTGCAGCCAGAGTTTGATTCCCTGCTGGCCAGGAGCAACACACATGGCGCAGCAGACCTCTCCTGTCTCGCCTGCTGCTCCCCTCAGCAGTGTATTCCAGTAGATCTGTCTGTTCTGCTCTCTGTTTTCTCTGGTCTACACCCCAGTTTTTGTATGAATAAGTAAATCTTAAAAAAAAAAAAGAAAGCTACAAGTTTTTTTCAATACATAAAGCAACAGGAAAGAAAGAGTATTTAAAACATACCTGAAAGCAGTGACTGTAGAAAAAGAAAAACTTATTTCTGGTTTTGAATAGTTCAAGGTGAGATTGCACCGTAGACAGGTTTCTGTTATATTATTAAAAATTATAATCCCTGTCTTTCATGTTTTTCCTATTCATTATTTGCCTTTTAATTTTTGGCTCTTAATTGGTTTTATAATCATATTTGTTTTCACTGTGAGGGTTTTTCTTTGTAATTACTTGCTCACAAATCCCATTCTTCACAAAATGATATCTGATAACATTTTAGTGTTTCAGGGACTAAGTTTGAGAAACATTAGCATTTTATTAAGTGTGTAGCTCAATAAAGTACCTTCTATATGTGGTGTTAAATAAATATTTTATTAAAAATGATATTGAATACTATCCAGTATTACCTTTTTGGAAATCAATATGATTTCCTTAGTAAAATTATTATTAATACTGATTTTATATTTGGAACTCTCTTTGCACTTTAAAATAAACTGCATGCTTATTGTGAATGTGTTCCTTTAAGACAATAACACACTGATTTTGCCAACATCTAGGATTTTTACATTCAGACACTACATATAAACCAGGCACATACAATAATGAGCAACATGTATACTTGTCATCACAGAGTTACTTAACATTCAGTGATTTTAAATACTTTTGAGGATGCTGAGGGTTATGCATTCTAAAATTAAGCTAAGAAGCTCTCTATCATACTTTAAGTTCAAAGCACAAGAATTAGCTCCTCAAAATTTTTAAAAAGTCACCCACAAATCTAAGTGGATTAGATAACTTTTTATATTGCAGTATAGAACTTTGACCTATTTTTTTTAATCCTTTACATAGTTTTTGATCTAATTCAATTTCCTCTTTTGAGTCCTCATCCTTGTTTTCCTTGAAAAATTACTTTCATATTAATAACATTTATTGGCAGCACTAAGATGTATAAGAGGTATAAAGTATTTAATCATTTTAGCCCCCCCTTTTATTTTTTTTCAAAGATTTACTTATGCATACAAGAGCTGGGGTACAGGCCAGAGATGCGGGGGGTGAGAGGATTCACTAGAGACAGAGTGGGGAACAGAACAGGCAGACTGGAGGCCCTTAATCCCCCCTTTTAAACTACCAATCTTATTAGTAGCAATATGCCCGTTCATGTTACACTTCCATAAATCTGTCAGTTATTCGTATTGCAAATAATTGTCTTATTGTTGATTATGAGAATATCAATTTATTAGATTATTTTACCACTTTTCTTTTTTAAATTTTTAGAAATTCTTTTGTTACTTCATTTTATCTTTACTTTTTATTATGTCATTAATTTGCTTTTAATGGCATCCTAAGTAAGAAAAATTGAAAACTTTTATTATTTGCACAAATTTAGTCACTCATCTTTAACTGAGTAGAGGCCATGCTAATATTTCTAGGTAGTGTTCCAAATTTAAAGTATGTGCTGCTGAAGTGAGCACAAGCAATGCCAGTTTTAAATGCAAATAAAAGACCATTTCAACCTATATGCAGAATCAATGAAATTACACAATTTGTATTTCATAGTTCCTATATCCATATGGATTGTGATCTTACCAAATAGTGCAAATGCTGCATTAAACAAACTTAACCGTTTATATGTCAGTTCTTGATATGCACATATTCTAACATCACTCTCTGCCTCAGGTTTACTGTTGAGCAAGAAAGGACTGAAAGGAAAGGGAACTATGAGTTACTCTTCCTTTCCCTTTCTTGTTTCATTTTTATCACAGGTGGTTGGCTAATACAGGGAAGTAATAAGACTAAGGAAAGGTATGGCAGAATTTCATAAACATTAGTGTTTCCTAGAAAGGCACTGCCTTCTTTCTGCATTATTTTTTTTATTAAATTTGGAGATTTTGAATCATTTAGGATTAAATATTATCAGAATAGGGCTAAAGTACCCATCCAAAAAGAACTTTCTAATCACATTTATTGATTTCATTTAATTTGAAAATATTTGCTAACAACAGCTGAATGCTAATGCTAATGGTGCACTTATAAACAGTACAGTATGACAAAATGTTTTTAAAGTATTCTTACACTTAGATCTATTATTTCTATCATAATTGAGCAAACATTCCCACCATCACTATCTTTTTTATCTTTAGTAATTTTCTCTGTATTTCAGTGAATTTATGATTTTTTCATTTCTAAAATTTTCAGATAAATGCTTAGCTTATTTTTATCCTTTCTTATTTAACAATTTTCATCTATAGCTTGGTCAGAATTTTACAGTTTAATATATAGCTTTTTGTTGTCACTATATTCTATGTGTAGGTGCAATTTTACTTTCCTTTTATACCTAAAGGTGATTCATAAAGTTAATTCAAAATTTAAAGTCTCCTACTTTTGTTTTTTGGGGAAGAGATCCTTTAATTATTGATTTTTGGTGTTCTTTATCACATTATCTCTACTTGTATAAACTTTAGCTCAATGTTCTAGGACTAGCATATATGCCAACCCTTCGAGAAACCTTCTATTCTACAGTGTGCTCTCGCTTCTCTAAACCTACATATATGTATACGTATGATTTATAAACACTTTACATATATAAAGTTTATTTAAACTCTCCTTGTTGCACCCACACACTTAGGCTATTTTATTCGTGTTCATCAGATTTGCAGCTTTATTTAGTAGTTTGAATTTTCACAGGAAAATTATATTCAATGCAACACATTTCTGAATGCATCAGTTATTGCATTAGGCACTAGGGAAAGTGTTAAATGGAAGAAATAATTCTGGTCTTCAAGAAACTCAAGACTACGAGGAGAAATGAACAAGACATTAAACACCAAGGGAAGTCATTAAATACAAAAGTGAACTTCCAGAGACTTGTCGTTTGTGCATAAGCAGCTCACAGCAAAGGAAAACAAGAGGTGTGCGCGAACACATCCATTCACAGGAGGAAAAGCGGTCTGGAAGTTCGGTAGTTCTGCCATAAGGAGCCTAATAATCCAACCCAGTGATTATCCAAGTATAATCCATGCCACCTGCCTCAGAATCACTTGGACAGTTTGTAAAGGGGGGGAGGAATCAAGCTTATTGGAATCAAAGTGGGGCAAGGGAGCGTTAAACCTGAGTTTTACACAAATTTCCCAAGTACTCAGAGCATCCAAGTTTTAGAACAGGGCGGAGCAAAATTCCCAGACTCAGTTACTCCCTCCTTTCAGCCCTGGCAGGAGAGCCTGAGACATGTATCCTCCCTCCCTTCCGGAGGAGTCGGCCAGGTCCCAGCTCACCTGGTCCACACGCCACAGCCTCGCGGCAAAAAACCGAGGTTGAGCCACCTGCCACCCCAATCACGGCTCAGGGAATTCGCAGACCTGCTCCGCAAAGGATTCCGGGAAAACCCAACAGGCCAATCTACAGGGCGGGAGAGGCAGCAGGTGAGTCCGATAGGGAGGATTCTTTGATTGACGTGAAATTGGCCCAATAAAAGCAGAGGACCGGTGACGCTAAAGCGTCCTTGGGAAGGCCATTCACGATTTCAGCCAATCCAGTTCAGTATTAGCCTCCTTGTGGGAGGTGCTTGAGGCCGCTGAGGTCGTTGATGTCTGTTGAACGGCTTGTGAAGTCGGGCTGCCTTGGGTAGGGGGTTAAAGTCGTTCTTGAGGAGAACGTCTGTCCGAGGAGAAAATGAGTTTAGCTCTGAGGTCGGTAACGAGGAGGCGGCAGTGCTCCCCACGCCCCGCAGCGGGACGCAGGGCGGGGGTGTGTGTGGAAGGGAGGCAGTTGGGCCGAGAAAAAGGCGCCTCGGCCAGGCTTCTAAGGGCCGGACCGCTCACCCTGGTGGCGCCGTTGTCCTGCAGGTGCTGGGCCTTTCTGCCCAGGTGGCCATTTCTGGGAACTGCTTGGCCTGGGCCGCCCGAAAGAGGGTGCGTGTATTGGTAGCCGCCCGGAGGGACTGAGCTATCGCGAGGTTTGCATTCGCGGTGTTTCTGCGGGCGGTCGGCCTGGGGCGCCTCAGCCGCTGGCTCCTGCTGTCCTCCCGGGCCGCGCCCGCCGCGCTGTGTGATGCGCGCCCACTTACCTGTGCATTTGGGAATTACACAAAACCCTTGCTCCTTTCCCGAGGCCTTGCTTATGGAGGAATCGTAGATCCACGGCAGAGACTAAAATTTTGTAGACTTCACTTGTTTAAAATGTTCACACAGGTTGCAAGCCCATTCGAAAATTTGGAACAATCTGAGATGGGTGTCTCTTAGCGAGGGTATTTCTAACCTTCAAGGCCAATTTTCTTTGTTTTTTTTTTTTTTTATTTTTCAGAGTTTTATAAGAAATTAAATCCGAAATTTACATGTTAAGGGAGACAAGACCATTGACTTCACATTGTTTAATGGAATTAACACAAACATTATAGACTTCGTTTGACATTAGATTCATATTTTGACTGATTTGTTCTATCAGTGAGAGAAGTTACAAAGACAATGACAAATTTAGAAGAATGTAATCCCAAAGCATTTGGAACATATGCGCCAAAGTATTTTATAAGTTAATTGATAAATTATGTGGTAGAATTTGGTAGTAATATTCATCGCTATAAACACTATCAAAAAGTAAACTAGTGTCAATTTTGAATTTTAATTTGGAAATTTATATAAACACTACAATGTGTGACTAAGTATGAGCGCTATTTTATTTTTTTGATCAGGGTTTCTGACATTAAAGTGATATTTTTCTTATTCCCAGTTCTTGTTTCTTTCACAGGAACAGTGGTGGGAATAAATGCCAAACTAGAGAGAAGGAAAGTTAATTTCTCATTTTCTTTTAATAACTTGTAACACTTTTCAGACTTGAGCAGGGCTTTGACTTATGTAAGGAATATTCCTTTATCTTTTTCCAAAATACTTCCTTTAGAAAGTTAGAAAATTGTAAATTGGCAATGATTTGTTGCATTTTTGGAGTGTTGCTGGATAATTTATTGACAGGAGACTAAGCTTAACATGGACTAAATGGACATATTTTTATTTCATAGAAATGAGCTTGTGGTAGACAAAACAAAGAGGAAAAAACGAAGAGAGCTCTCAGAAGAACAGAAGCAAGAAATTAAAGATGCTTTTGAACTATTTGATACAGACAAAGATGAAGCAATAGATTATCATGAATTAAAGGTAATAGTATGCTTTGCATATTTTTTCTTTTAAAATGATTTGCATTTTTGACAGTTACTTAAAACTACTTTTCTAAATAAGTACTTTAACTAAACTGGCTTTGGAAATATAAAACCATTTTAAACATTGGCAGTTAAGTACTGCAATAAAATTGAATGTTACTTTCAACATCTTTTATAGAAAATCCTTTTCATATGTTAAACATGAATAGTATTGCATGTAAAAATACATTTCTATGAAGAGGCTTATTTTTCATTTCACATAATTAAAGATTTCATACTATACGAGTAAAACAGTTCTTACTATATTTCCAGTGCTTTTTTTTGTTCGTTAGTTTTTGGGGGTTTTTTTTGGTGATTCCTGTTTTGGGTGAGTGATATTTGTCTTTTAATTTGACATGTTAGCAACATAGTGTCAACGTAATCAATGTAAGTGATGTCTGATGTTGACACATGCTGCTGGGGAAAAATGTCAGCTTTAAGGCCTAGAATTACTTATAAAGATTTAGTTAAAAAGAAACAATGCGAAATTGATGTTTAGGCAATATGGATTCTCACACTTAACCTAATGAGAAAGCATTTTCGTCCTCTGTAACTCTCTTTTTGAACTATTTTTTTTTTAATTACCTAGCTTTGATTAAAAATTTTTCCTTTATGCCTCTTCCGTTTTTTGTAATTGTTATTTCTTGGTTTGGAATCTTACTGCACTCATGGATCTTCCTAAATGGTTTATCTACTTCTCATGTACCCTATACATTAGATTCATCTTTTAAAATTCTTTCATTGTAGTGTTCATTTCTCATAGACCTTGAGTGACTCCTCACTGTATACTGTGTAAAGTTCAGATTCCTTTCATTTTAACTTCATGCTTGTACTACCATTTTCTCATTTGCTAATTGCTTGCTTCCACCTGAGCTCTTTCTGTTCAGATAAGGTAAGCTGCTCTTCATACTCTTCTCCTTGATGCTTTATTTCAGTATCTGTTTTGATAACAGTCACTCTTTCTAAGTACTCTTTTTATTCCACTTTAGCCATGCATCAAGGAATAGCTTGACTCTCTCCAAGTAAGATTTCTTTAGTCAGTAATATGTCAAGATTTCCTCTTTCTCTCAACTCAGGGTCCTAGGTTATTTCCCTAATAATTAATCATGTAGGATCTGATAACAATTGTTGTCTTGTTTTTTGTCACTTCTAGTGTATATTTTAATATGTCTTACCTTTTTCCCGCTTTGGTTAATCCTTTGAGAACAAATAGCTTGTTAAAATTATCAGAGTCAGTGCATTGGTGTAGTGTATGTAGTCTGTAAACATTCATTGATTGCTTCGTCATGTTAAAAAAAAAAAATGAAAAAAACAGAAATAAAATGAAATAAATTTGCCATTTTTTTCATAGAAAGGAAAAAATTGCCATTAATTTCAGTAGTGAAGAAAAGCTACCACTTTAGAGACATAAAACATGTAGTATTAATGTATTGCTATCACTGAAATTGTAGAAACTTGCTTAAGAATTGAAAGTCACTTTTGTGAAAGAGTGCTTCAATAATTTGCTTTTCCCTTTTAATCCAAAAGGTGGCAATGAGAGCCTTGGGGTTTGATGTAAAAAAAGCTGATGTACTGAAGATTCTTAAAGATTATGACAGAGAAGCCACAGGAAAAATCACCTTTGAAGATTTTAATGAAGTTGGTGTGTATTTTGATAGTCTTTGTAATCAGTATTTGTTAGGCAGTTGTCTGGTTAATATCAAAAGTTCTTTTTAATTCTCTGAGTTTTGGAATTTTATTAGTGACTGTGGTTGTAAATGTGAATCTCATTTATTTTATTTTTTATACTTTTTCCTGATTTTCAATGAAAATAAGATTTATAGTTTTGCTGTATGATTGTTGTTTTGTTCTGAAGATTCTAACAAAGGAGATATGATGGTTATTGAAAGATGTCATTTTAAATAATGAGGTTTTTTTTTAAGATTTATTTATTTATTTATACAAGCACTGGATAGAGGCAGAAGTGTGGGAGGGTGAGAGAATTCACCAGAACCAGAGTGGGGAGCAGAACAGGCAGACTGATGAAATACACTGCTGAGGGGAGCAGCAGGCGCGGCAGGGGAGGTCTGCGCTCCATGTGGGACCCTCACCGGCGGCCGGGGATCGAACTGGTGCTGCAGATGCTGTGGGCAGCTTTGCAGCCCAGTGCTCAACCACTGCGCCACCAGGGAGGCCCTGTTTCTTTTTTTCTTTAAAGGTTGATTTTTTTTTTGGCATACAAGAGCTGGAGTACAGGCCAGAGGTGCGAGGGGTGACAAGATTCACCATAGACAGAGTGGGCAACAGAACAGGCAGATTGACAGAAATACATTGCTGAGGGGAGCAGCTGGCAAGTCAGGAGAGGTCTGCTGTGCCATGTGGGTTTCTCCCTGCCTGACCCGGGGATCGAACTTGTGCTGCAGTGGTTGCGGACAGCCTCATAGGTTGCATCTTAACCCCTTGTTCCACCAGGGAGGCCCTAGTGAGTGTTTTTCTTATGTGATAAAACTGAAAGGATGAATAAAAAACCCGAGAAGATTTATTTGAAAAATATTTCCCAAGACCGTTTTGGTATGTGATATTTGTTGGTAAAGTGGAAGATAAGGAAACTGGTAGCAGTTGTTATCTTTGGCTATAGATGAAGTGCATGTCTTCAGGTTGACAAAGCTTAGGAGGGGCTACACATGTTAGATGATGTAGATCTCAGTGAATAAAGTCATCTGTTTAGTATTCTGGGTGGAAGGAGGATCATAGTAAGGGAAACAGTTGGCAGTATGGGAACATGAGAAAAACCAACTGAAAATAATGTGTCATGGACTTAGTGTCATTGTACCTTCATAGAGTATATTTGAGTGGATTATTTATAGCATGTATATGTATCAGACATTTTCTGGATAGGGGATTCTGGAAGGCAATGACTTTGCTATTAAATTTAAATATATTGCCTAGAGTATGATACAGAGAATGTATATATACACATATTCAGGTTTTTATTAATTAAATTCTATAAATCAGTGATTCCACTTTATATGGGTCATGATATAAGCACATTACTTATTTTTAGATATTTAAAAGATTTAGGAACAAATTGAATTATACGCACACACACAAACCCTTTATTTGAAAAATTAAAAAAGAAGCTTTTAAAAAAAAACGGCAGTTAGTGCTGCAGAAAACCATTCATTTCATTAGTAATTTTTTATCTGAAAACTTAAACTCAAAGTGGTGAGTTACAGGATAAAACTAAAAGAGAAAGAAATCACAGCACAGAAAACCCCCAACTTAAGAACAAACAGATGACTGTTTAAAGGAGGCAGCTTTTTCCTTTGGGAACCATATTTCTTCCCCCCCCCCCCCCAATTTGTAGAATGATTTACTTGAGAAGGAGAGAGAATCTTTATTCTCTCGGTATTGATGATTTATTGGGATTTATGATTTTAGTCCAAGTTTCAGCACAGATTGTATATTTACAGAAACAAGGTATTAGGATATAGTGGAAACGATACAATTAGGAAGGAGCTATAACTCAGGTACATTTGGTGTGATAAATGAGTTAGCTTGGACACCTTAGAACCAGATAGCCTGGTTGCAAATTGTGGTTTTTACCATTTAAAACTCCATGTGTAACTTGGTCATTTGACTTTCCTTTGCTTCATTTTCAACTATGAAATTGGGATAGCTGTGCTGCTTTGTAGGGTTCTTGTGAGGGCTAAATGAGTTAATAATATGTGAGGTGCTTAGAAAAGGACCTAACATATGTATGGTAAGTACTATTAAGTATTTGTTATAGTACTTTAAAATGTCGTTGTCATTTACTTTAATGACAAGATAATCATATGCATCCTGGAACATAAAAAGTGTTCTCCTTGCTTTTGTGGTTTGTGTTTCTGATTATAGTTGATGTTATTTTAAGTATTGATCATTGTCATTAATAATTTTACAAAATAGGACCACCCCTGGTGGCGCAGCGGTTGAGTGCTGGGCTGCGAAGCTGCACGCAGCCTCTGCAGCGCCGGTTTGATCCCCGGCCACCGGGCTAGGGTCCCACATGGCGCACAGACCTCTCCTGCTGCGTCTACTGCTCCCCTCAGCAGTGTACTGCTTCATCAGTCTGCCTCTTCTGCTCCCCTCTCTGGCTCTGATGAATTCTTTCACCCTCCCTCGCTTCTGCCTCTATCCAGTGCTTGTATGAATAAATAAATCTTTAAAAAAAAATAAATAAAAAATAAAAAAATAGAAGAGTAAATATGAGGCCTCCATTTAAAAAAAATAATTTTACAAAACAATATTTTATCTTAAATGAATACTGTTATAAAATTGTGCTTTTATTAGCAGTTGAAGCCAGAGTCCCACCTTCTCCTTACCCCCATTTTTCTCTTTTACTTACAGACCAGAAATACCTGATTCTTTTTTAGAATAAGTAGCTATTAGCTATAGTTAAACTTCAGCTGTAACTCTCATAGATCAACCTTTTTGACAGACTCACCACATACTTTTAGCTATCATAGACTACCTACTGAGGATACCAGTTGTCAAATAAAAATGTATTACTGTTTGGAAATCAAGTAGTCAGGTTCTCCCATTTGTTGATTATTTTTTAATAATGACTCAACACAGAGGGTATCTGTTTTATACTTTGGGACAACTAACTCCAGACCAGAATATTTGAGTCTTAGTTTTATGTGCCATCTATTAGGGTACTGTTCCACAGGTGTTTGTGGATGGTCTGTCATTTAACAGAATTCTTTTTTTTTAATAGTTGGATCTTTTTCAGCTGTTGCCTTTTTTCATTACATTGTTGTTCATTTTTGTACAATATTGAATTTCTTGCCTCAGGTGTTGCCCCCATAAATCTCCCACTACCATATCACCATGAACTACCACCATAGTTTCTTGTGCTCTTCACTCCCGTTTTGACCCTTTTCTCTCCCCTTCCCCTGCTGTACACCTCAGGTTTATAGTTTACCTACAAGTCTTGTCTTTTTTTTTGACCCTTTGTTTGGTTTCCCTATAGTCCTCCTACAAGTGAACCATCTGATATTTTTCTTTTTCCTTCTTACTTATTTCACTGAACATGTTCCCTTCTAGCTCCATCCATGTTGCCGTGAGTGGCATGAGTATATCTTTTTTGATTGCTGAATAGTATTCCATTGTGTATATCTACCACATCTTCTTGATCCAGTCATCTGTTTTTGGGTATTTAGGTTTTTCTATATTTTAGCTATTGTAAATGGTACTGCAGTAAACATAGTGTAGGTTTCCTTTTGAAATAATGTTTTTGCATCCCTTGGGTAGAATCATAGGAGTGGAATTGCTGGGTCATATGGTAGATCCATTTTAATAATAACAATTTGAGAAACTTCCACACAGCTTTACATAATGGCTGGACCAGTTTGTTTTCCCACCAGCAGTGTAAGAGGGTTCCTTTTTCTCCACATCCTCACCAGCATTTGTTGTTTCCATTAACTGATTTCTTACCAGTGCTAGGAAAAATGTCTTAAAATATATGTGATAAAGATTTAGAATTTGGACAATTGAGGCTAGTGGGTAATAGGCGTTTTAGGAATGATTGCTTTAAAGTAAGACCAAGATAAGTCAGGTGTCAGTATTCCATTTATTTTTGGTACATACTAATTATTTCATTGCCTGTTTAAAATACAGTATTACTATTTTTGTTTTTGCTTGTTTAACAAACATTTGCTGATTTTTTTAAGATTTATTTATTTATGCATACAAGAACTGGGGTGCGGGCCAGAGGTACAGGGGTGAGAGGATTCACCAGAGACAGAGTGGGGAGCATAACAGGCAGATCTGCTGAAATACACTGCTGAGAGGAGTAGCAGGTGAGACATGAGGGGTTTGCTGCACCATGTGGGTCATCTCCCTGGCCGGGGATCAAACTCATGCTGCAGTGGCTGTGCATAGCTTCATAGTCTAAAAGAGTTATCCCCTTGTGCCACCAGGGATGCCCCATTTCCTGAATTTTTTTGCCACTTGGTACCATGCTGGGGTGAAGAGGGGAGATAATTAAGTTCTGAAGAGGTTCTTTTTTCATGGAGCTTGTAATTGAAATGTAGGTGAGAACAAGCTCTGGTGCTGTATGGTAAATTATTTTGTCAGGGGCCAGAGTTGGCAAATGACAGATCATGAGTCAAATTCACTTGCTACCTATATACTGCCACATCCTTTTTCTTTCATGCTTCTTTTATACTACCGTGCCAGAGTGAGTTTAGACAAATATCCAAGCCTGAAACATTCACTGTCTGACCTTTAATATGAATGATTTACCAATTCCTGGTCTAGAGTCATTGAAGAAGACTTTACACAGGGGATTTTTAATAGGTGTGTGGGAATGTGAATAAGATTTCATCCCAAGAGGCAGATTGTGGGAGTAGGGATTCCAGGTAGAAAAAACAAAAACAGCAAAGAGTGATGCTGTAAGTATAGTATGTTTGGGGGACTTCTGTAGGAGAGGAAAGTGACTGAAAGGTAAGATTAAGCCAGAAAGGTAAAATCTTGCCTAGCCTATAGAGTTTAAGACTTGTAAGTCAGTGGAAGATCATTATCAATTTTTTTCCCCTAAAGATTTATTTATTTATATAGGAACAGGGTATAGGCCAGATGTGTGGGAGGGTGAGAGGATTCACCAGAGACAGAGCGGGGAACAGAACAGGCAGACTGACGAAATACACTGCTGAGGGGAGCAGCGGGCGCTACAGGAGAGGTCTGCCGCGCCATGTGGGATTCTCGCCAGCTGGGCGGCAAGGATCAAACCTGTGCTGCAGAGGCTGTGGACAGCTTCACAGAGCTGCGCTTAACCACCTGCACCACCAGGGAAGGCCCAAGATCATTGTCAATTTTTAAGGAAGAGGGTATGCTATGTTTTAGAAAGGTGACACTGATGAGAGGTGTTAAAGACAGATTGGAGGGCAGAGAGACTGCAGGCAGAAGGTAATAGACTTTTTATTCTGACTGTGGTGAGAATGAAAAAGGATGTATTTAAGAGTAGAAAGGGAGTATCCTTAGTACTCTGGGATCTAATCACTGATTAGGTTTATAAGATTGAAATTGTTCAGAGTTTTCATATATGGGAAGCTAGCTGTTAATGGTGCTCTTACCATTTTGGGGGTGAGCTATCACAGCTCTTTTGGGTGATAGTGGGAAGAGCTTGGAATAAAAAATACTGACTTTAAAGGAACTGGTCTATTTGCATAGAAACTTCTAAAAGGCAGCGAGAAATATAGATGAAGCTATAATTTTTAGCATCACCTTTAATGATGTGATCAATTTTTAATTTGTGGTATTAGGTGATTTTTATAATGTGTAATGTATTTTGAGGAAGTGCATTTCTGACAGTATTCATTAAATCATTTGAAAATAATTAATAAATAGACATTTGTGAAACAGATTGGACCCACCTTTTCTGTCTGTATGTTATTTTCATGAAGAAAGCTTTATTTTTTAGAATTCTATTTAGTAGAATAGGAATAGAACATGAAGGCTCAAAGGACAGTCACTGTAAAGTTGTATACTGATAATGTTTTAGCTGTCCAGAATGATAAGTATTTATAGTTCTCAACAGAAACTGCATTCTAAGACAAAGTATTGATAAAAGATTAGACACATAAGTCTGAAGTAACTAACACAATTAAAGTACCAGTGGGATAAGAATTTATACATCTTGGAGCCCCATCTGTTCCCCAGATCACCCTGTTGCTTCTTTAAATACATTAATACTTTCAGCAAGCTGCTTTTTTTGATTCACCTGTCATGTAAATTATTTAATTGGTGAAGAAAATTTCTTAACACTTTTTTTTTCCTTGTCCTGCTTTTTTGTTGGGACTAAATTCAAAATTAGTTGAGTATGAGCCATAGAGTTAAGTGTGGTATTTTATTTTGGTGTTATGGCTGTATATATGCCAACTCCTTTTTGACTGAATATTTATGAGCTTTGATGATTTGCATACTTATAGTAATATGCTTCAATTAGTTGCTTGGAAGACTTTTGGGTAAAATATATTGGATAAAAGAAAATGTTGAATATATGTATAGGTGATTGATTTAACATTAGTTTGAATGGGTTCTTATTCTAAAGCTTATTCCACAGGCTATGATTAGATAGCAGCAGCAAAACAATATTTTTTGGGGACTAGAATTTTATTTTTCTTTTTGGGTGCATTAAACATTCCAATACTTTCCATCCACAAGTATTTACAATTTTTAATGATTCTATAAGTCTCAATAGTACTGAATTATTTTTAATGAGATAGTGAAAATCATAAATGCCTTTTGTTGTAATAGTAGACCATTTTTATGGAATAACTTCAAAGATATTTACTTAGATACTTTAAGAATTTTATCTAATAACTTAAAAAATACCCCACAGATTTTTACTTCAATTTTTATTATTGTGGCTATTAATTAAAAGCTGTTGTAATATTGGAAATACTAAGTTTATATTTTATATTTTAAAATATACAGTTACTGTTGAGGTCTGAAATTACATTTAACTGTCTGAGAGCTTTTATCTTGCCGGGCAAAATAATAACTTGATAAAAAAATGTATCCAGATTTTTTTTTCAACTTTCCTATTATAATCAGATTCAATTCTTTTAGTAACTACTTTCCATATTTTTGTAAACCAAGAGCTTCCTTTTATGTAGATGTCAGTGTAATTTTTTTATCTACTATCTGTGATCGTTTCTATATCAGTGGTAGCAATGCAATTTTGTTAATTTGTCATGAGTTTGTCTTTAATTTGGATTAAATTTAGGAATAGTCAGTGATAATACATTACGTTTAGCTAGCAAACAGCATTTATCCAGTAAGCTTTAATTGTTTTGTTGATATTTCATCTCTACAACTAGGGTACAAATTCCTAAACTTGTTCACTTAATGTCGGTGTAACCTGGTGCACTTCTTGATAATAGTAGATCTTAATTAAATGCAGTATAAGTATAGCCCTTTTTGTTTTGCTATTGTATAATGTAAACAGTTTTTGCTTTTATGATAGGACAAATTATTGAGAATATATTATAAATTTTAAAATGTGGTTTGTTTTTTCTAATTTCAGGTTTATCTCTGGGATTTGGGCTCCAATTTAGCATTCTGTTGTCAAATGATATGTTGACAGATTCACAGCTCCTACTCTCATCTAAATACTTAGTTGATTTCACAAATGAATGCCTTTGTGGTTATGCAGGTTTATTTTTTTCCCTTTTTTTGCTGTAGTGACAGACTGGATATTGGATAGAGATCCTCATGAAGAAATATTAAAAGCATTTAAACTATTCGATGATGATGATTCGGGTAAAATAAGCTTGAGGAATTTGCGACGAGTTGCCAGAGAATTGGGTGAAAACATGAGTGATGAAGAACTTCGGGCTATGATAGAAGAATTTGATAAAGATGGTGATGGAGAAAGTAAGTTTTGAGTAAAATGTATATTCCAAATACTCCTGATACATACATATGGTAAATTTTTCTGAAATCAAATGATTTTTAAAATCTTTTGAAAAATGTCTCTTTGTATTAAGTGTAATTGTTCATCCTGTAATGGTCTTTTTTTCATAAATCTTTCACATTTAATTTAGAAAGAAGTAGACCTTTGAAGCCAACTATATGGTTATATATAAGGTTCTGTACTTCAAGAAGATACTTCACTATTTTGAGGCTAAAACATCACCAAAATTTCAGTCGTTAATGCATTCTTCCTTAATCTCCTTACATGTACTTTTTAATGAAGTACTGTTCAAGCCTTCAAATATTTTGAGCATTTCATTTCTCTGTATTTCTTTTTTTTTTCTTTGTATTTCTTTGCTGCTGTCCTAGTTCATACTCTAACGCATGAATGTAGGAATGCTATAATAGCCTCTCTTATTATTTTCTTGATATTTACTCTGTGCAGTGCCCTATGTACTGACTGGTACTGCCCAATGAAAGAGGCAGATGTGGTTCCCATCCTCACCGACTCCACATGTAGTTCTCTTTTAGGCTCCTAAGTGCCCTTTATACCTCTGAGCCTCTACTCTCTTCCTAATTCAGTCTATTAATAGCATTTCCCCCCTCAATACAGTTTAGATGATGTCATTTCCCTATTTAAAACTTAGAATGATTCTTCAGTGCCTCAAGAGTAAAGTTCAAAGTCTTCTATTATCTGTTCTACCTTAAGTATCTAGTTTTTTCACACTGTTTTCTACTTTGCTATTTGTAAACCTCATTTCCCATACATATATATATATATACTCTTACAAAATACTCTAATCTAAACCAATTTTTATTTTGTGCCTTTTATCATATTGCTCCTCAATTCCTTAGAACGCTCTAGTTGCCAACTTCTGTCTGTTAAAATGTTAGTTGTTCTCTCAGGTACATTTTAAATTCTATCTTTTTTTTAAAAGCTTCCCCCAGTGTCTCTATGTGAGTTAGGAGCTATCCATTGAGGCCTATAGCATTTAGAGTAACAAACTATTTTGATACTTTTATACACTGTTTTCTTTTAGTTATGTAAGAGTGTTTCTCTCTAGTTATATTGTTAACGTCTTAGGGAGCAATATGGAATCATATAATGTGAAAGTACAGTATAAAAAAGGCCTGAGGTGGGGCCTCCCTGGTGTGGTGCAAGGGGTTAAGACATATGAAGCTATCCACAGCCATTGCAGCACAAGTTTGAATTCCAGCCAGGGAGCTACCCACATGGCACAGCAGACCTCTTCTGACTCGCCCGCTGCTCCCCTTAGCAGCGTATTTCAGTCAGTCTGCCTGTTTTGTTCCCCATTCTGTCTCTGGTGAATCCTCTCACCGCCCCCCACACCTCTGGCCGGTACCCCAGTTCTTTTATGCATAAATAAATAAATCTTTAAAAAAAAAAGGACTAAGGTGTTGAAATCATATAGACCCAGATTTGAATCGAATCTCTACCATTTAACTTACTTGCTGTGTAATTTCATGGACGTTTGCAATCTTTTCTGAGTCTTACTTTACCCATTTATAAAAAATGAGAATGGTAATACCTCCCAGGGTGGTTGTATTAAATGAAGATAATTGAATGTGCCTTGTAGTCGATGTATATTTTTCTTCTTTCTTTCTTTATGCTTACATTACACCCCCATGACTTATTTATTTTATAAGTAGAAGTTTGTATCTTTTGGAGTTAGGAGCTTTACCTATTTTGCCCACTACCCACCTTTAGCAACCACCATTTTTGATAGTAGCTTTATTTCTTAGACCACCCACATATAATGTGAGATCATATAATATTTGTCTTTTTATTAAATTTCATTTATTGTAATGCCCTTAAGGTTCTTTCATGTTGTTGTAAGTGGCAAGATTCCATTTTTTTTTTAATGGCTGAGTAGTAGTCACGCACATGTGCCCTCGTGTGAATGTGTGTGTGTGTTTGCGTATCTGTATACCTCATTGAACACTTGGAGTTTTTTTCCCCACTGTTTTGTCTTTAACTATATTTATCATGGTGTTGTCCTATCCTAGTTTTTTTCCCAACTCCTGTCAAACCAGATCCTGTTGTTTTAAAACTTAGTTCAAAAATTATTTTTACCTATTTTTTTAATTGAAGTAACTGCTTTACAATACTGTATATATGATTTAGACATGTAGGGTCATACCCTTCAGATGTGTTTCTATACCTCACCCACCACCAGTTCACCCAGAGTCCTCCACTCAGTCCACTATGCCTACTCCCTACTTTGCTACCCTCAACCCCCTTTTTGATAGCCTCAATTCTATAGTCACATTTCTAGGTTTTGTTAATTTGGTTTTGTCTGACCCTTTGTTTTGTTTCTCTGTGTTCCACATATAAGTGGAACCATCCAGTATATGTCTTTCTCCTTCTGAATTATTTCACTTAGCATGTTCCCTACCAGTTCCATCCATGTTGTGCCAAATAGCAAGAGTTTATCTTCTTTTTTATAATGGAGTAGTATTCCATTGTGTGTGTATAATACATCTTCCCAATCCCTTGTCTATTCTTGGTCACTTAAGTTGTATCCATAATGATTTTTCCTATTGTGATGAATATTTTCCAACACAGATAATGTGGATTTCATTTTAAGAATAGATCATATTTTGTATTCTACAGTAATTATCCTCTGTTTCATGTAATACAGTGTGACTACTGTAATTATTGAGACTGGTTTTCTCTGGTTTTGGGAACTAGTATACTTGTCATTGTTGATGTACATATTTTATCTTGACATTTTTAAATTGTTTTTTAACTACATTTTTGAGCTAAAGAATAGAGAAAAAATATTAAAACTTGTACAGTGAACACCTTTATAACCTTCTAACTAGATTCAGAAATTAACATTTTTCTGTATTTTTATAGTGTATATATTTTTTTCTGATTGAGAAATATATCATGGACTTAATCCCCTTAATATTTAGCATGCTCCTCCTAAGAATAGGATATTATTTTCATATCTGTGATACTATTGCAACTGCAAAGTAAATTAGCAGTAATTTTATAGTACAACCTAATATAATCCTCACTTTAATTTCAAGATATTCTAGAAAAAGAACCCTTGTGTCTGTTTTGATGTATTATACAACTCCTAATATGTTGTTGGCATTCACTGGGCACTTAAAAATGTTTGATTCAATGCAGGGTTTTAATATATTAGCTTCTGAGGTATTTGAAAGTTTAGAAATTAGAAACAGGGCCTCCCCTGGTGGCGCAGGCGGTTGAGCGCAGCACTGTGAAGCTGTTCGCAGCCTCTGCAGCGCCGTTTCGATCCCGGCTGGCCAGCGAGGGTCACACAAGGTGTGGCAGAGCTCTCCTGTCTTGCCCGCTGCTCCTCTCAGCAGTGTATTTCAGAGTCTACCTGTTCTGTTCCCCACTCTGTCTCTGGTGAATCCTCTCACCCTCCCGTGCATCTGGCCTGTACCCCGGTTCTTGTATAAATAAATAAATCTTTAAAAAAAAGAGAGAGAAGTTAGAAACAGTCTTAAAGGATATCTTATAGTTTGGTATTTCCAAAAAAGGAAGTAAATTAAGACTGGAATCCAGGTCTCTCTTTTCTCATTGTAGAAATAAGTTATACTTGTTATCATTGTCAAAATTACCTTTCATAACGTGTGCCTTCTTAAAGTGTTAAGTCTTGAGGGGAACCATGGAGTCACCTGATATACAACATTATTTTTTATTTCTGTTAATAATTCCTGTGCTTTGTGTGTATTGGTTTTTAAAAATTATGCTTAGCAAGAATATTACCTATTTCTAGATTGTCTTAAACATTGTTCTTAAAAACAGGTTCTTACTGAAATTTATTTATAATTTCATTTATAATTTTATAATTTTGGTTAGCCTACAGGTACTCTTTGTCACTGAATATTTCCTGTATTTGCAAATGTATTTTATAGTTGCTAGATTATTTTGGTAATTAAGATTAAATCTCTAATTTTTTAAATTACCATTTCAGTGGGTACTTTTGCCATGGTGACCTGTTCTCAATTGGTTTTTCTTTAAAATATGCTTTTTAAGTATGTAAAAGTTAAACAACTATTTTTTTAATTCTAAAATATTTTTGTTCTTTAGAATTCTAATTAACACTCATAATATGTTCTATTTATTTATGAAGGGTTTGCTAAATGAGCTCATAGAATAATTAAGAAGACATAACTAAATTTTTGAAAAAGCTATTAAAAATTATTTTAGAAAGTATACAAATCTGATGAAATTTTTTATAATTATTAATGTCTTTGTTCTAGGTAAAATTATAGAATAATTTATCATTTTATATATTTTGTATTCATGAAGTTGTTTAATAAATATGTTTAACTTCCTAGTTAAAAAAAAAAGCCAAAAGCTGTATCTCAGTTTATTAAGAATTTTGTATAATTTAAAATTTATAAATGCTTACTGTAAAATAGTAGTATCTTATCTGAGAAAATAGTAAAATATCTGTATTTTTGACTAACATTTTCTTTCTTACCACAGTAAATCAAGAGGAGTTCATTGCTATTATGACTGGTGACATTTGAAGAATTACAAGGATAAACACTAAGAATGTTGCAGTTATCATCTTCTATTTTTGTGCCTGCAGCTATGTTAAAAAACAAAACAAAGACAACTTAGTTTTTTCCCAGAAGGACCAAAAATAAGCATTTATGTATTCATATTTTATTACTGTTAAGTTTCTTTGTATGAACAGTATTGTTGGTACTCTTAATAATAGCTCAGTTTTGTATTTATAATATAGTTTTTATATACATAAAATTTTTTAAATTGAATCATGTGGTACACATTCTTTGAAGGTTTTTTATTCAACATTAGTAGTCACTTTTGTTTTGGTGCACGTGCTTTTCAGACACATTAATAAAATGTTTATTTTATTAGTATTTTAAAATTTGACAAATTTTATGTTTTACTGTGATTCAAAGTATCGGTGATCTTTAGTAGTCTTTCTTAAATCTTTTCTCTTTACACTACTGGTTTCACAATCAAAAATTGAAATATAAGTAGCAATAGAATAGTACATTTTCCATTACAAGCTTGACTTTCTATTTTTCAGTACAAAATGATGACTCAATATAGGCATTACTCCTTTTTTGAGAGTAATGTCTTTCAGTTTGGAGAGTAAAAGTATCGTGCGTATATAGACCCATTTATACTCATTTATTATGTTCTATAACACTTTTGGTGTGTTAACGTAAGTTATGACAGTTAAATTTGGATATTTCCTTAAACTAATTGAATACAGTTTGAATCATGTAACTTCTTGACAAAGTAAAAGATTTAAATTTTGGAATTTTGATCTGTTAAGATAATTATCACTCAATTAAACGTCACAGTGATGAAAATAGAAAAGTGCAAGCCACAGAAATCATTTAAGGCTATGTTTTACTTGTATAAGGGAACTTTCTGTGATTCACTAAGAAAGTAGAGACAGACGTTTCAGGCATTTGTGGGTTCTTCTGCTATGTAGGAAGTGTATGTTGGGGGAAACAGGTGGTTGTTTGGATACAGATCATAAGGAAATGGTACCTGTACTGATCTTTTGCCAGTAATAACTTTCTGATGGTATGGGCTCTCCGGGAAGAGAACTGAGTTGTCTTAGTTCTTTCCTTAGTGATCTTTATTTAGATTTCTTATTTTAAATTCAAAGTACAATAATAACTTGAACCACTTTAAATGTTGAGTCTCTCAGAATATTACGTAGAGTCATCTGTTAGAAATTTAACCTGAAAAATAGGGAATTATGTAACAATGGTGACATTTCAAATAGTTTTCTAGAAATCAAGTTAGTTATTCACCATATTAAAATTTGATTTTGAATATAAAATCAGGATTCAATGTAGTAGTAATATCCAGGGCAACATATAGACATTGAAATTAAAAAAAATTTATCATCCTTACTGAGATAAGTCTTAAAGGTCTTGATCACAAATATGTTGATTTCCAGCGAAGAATAAAACCAATAAAAACAAATCTAGGCTTGCTAGTTTTCTACCACTTTATTGGAACAAATAACCCAGTCTACTTTTTTTTTTTAAATCAATTACCAAGATAGTTTCTTTATTCTTAATATAATGACCTACTCTTTGGGGAACGAGTACTTTTCTTATATTCTTACTGTGGGTTGAGGGATGAATGCTCACCTCAGTTCTTTATGTCATGGAAACTTTTTCCTATAGAAAGATATAAATTATTCTCAAGTGTTTTCTAGTGTTAATGATCAAATGTAGTTGAAAGACTGATAAAATTGGCTAGTAGAGGTCTCAATAATAAGAAATGAGTGAATTTGCTTTAAGAAGGAGGCAAGTAGAAGTGGATACTAGTTACTTATTATATAGTGATATATATCATGCAATGGCATTTCATGATGAAAAAAAATCTATTACTAAATTTGCTTAGTACATCGCTGGTAGGGTTTCCTGGTCAGCCTTAATAACTTGGGATTTGTCAGCAAAGATCTTTTTCTTTTCCTTGTCTTATATCAAAGCCTACATTCTAAAGAAGCTTTGTTCCTATTAGCTCTTAGGTTAGGGTCTGGTGGTAGGTAGTTGGGATAAGGAGAAAATCAAAAACATTTGTCACAAACTTAATATGTGGTAGACTTACTTCATCAGTGCACATCTAATGGAAAACTTTCAAATTTATTTGATGTGCTGGTATTAATGACATAACATTAGCAAGCACCATCTCTGCATGGACTATCCAATTGAGTAACTAATAGCCTTAACTCCATAAATCATCTACCTGATGTTAGTCTCTATAAGTAAATTTTCTCAGGGATTTACTAGTGATGCGTTCTTTTAAAAAGATTATGATGCTCTGAAAACCAATGTGAAGAAGACAAAATAATTAAAAAATATATAATTAAATTTAAGTTACCTAAGTAATACATAAAGACATTCCAAAAAAGACGAAAATTATTTAAAGCCCCCCCCACTCTTCCTCTGTGAGTACTTAACAATGTCTGGCTTTTGATAGATAGATGGAAGAGCACAACTAGATATTTATTTTATTTTTTGATTTTTTACATCGTTCATTTTTAAACAATATTTGTTTCCCCCCACCCCCTCAGGTGTAGTCCCCATAGAATTTCCTTCACCAATGCACCCGTGCACCATCACCTCAGTCCCCTGTGTCCTCCGTCCCTCTCTCTGAGCCATCTCCCGCTTCCTTCCCTGCAGTATGTCTGTGATTTATAATTGTCTGTTTTTGCTTTGTTGTGTTTTGTATTATTATTTTTTTACACTATACCTTATTTGGTTCCCCTATATTCCTGCTATAAGTAAAACCATGTGCTATTTTTCTTTTTCCTTCTGGCTTATTTCATTGAGCATAATTCCTTCTAGCTCCATCTACGTTACTGCAAATGGCATGAGCTTATCTTTTTTGATTGCTGATTAATGTTGCATTGTGTATTTAGACCACATTTTTAAAAATCTATTTATGCATAAAAGAACTGGGGTACAGGCTAGAGGTGCGGGCGGAGGATGGGGTGGTGAGAGGACTCACCAGAGACAGAGTGGAGAGCAGAACAGGCAGATTGACTGAAATAGAGTGCTGAGGGGAGCAGCGGACGAGTCAGGAGAGGTCTGCTCGCCATGTAGGTCTCTCTGGCTGGGGATCGAACTCAGCCTCAGCGGCTGTGGATAGCTTTATAGATTGCGTCCTAACCCCTTGCGCCACCAGGGAGTCCTCTAGACCACATCTTCTTGATCCAGTCATCTATTTTTGGGCATTTGTGTTGTTTCCAGGTTTTACCTATTGTAAATAGTGCTGCAATAAACATAGGGGTACAGGTCACAGATGTTTTAACAGTGCGATGAGGTACAGGAGAAGTTCTTACTGAATCAAAAAAAGAAGCTGAAAGAGAACACTGAGATAGTTAACTGCAGGAAGAATCTGCCACCCATAGAGCTGAGGGAACAGAGTAAAGATTGTGGTTACTAAAAACTAGAAACTTGGAAGAGAGGTCCTGTAGAGCTGGGACTTGGAGACACTTTGAAGAGGAGGCATTGATATGTAATGTTAGTATTGGTGGAGGAATGATGATGCTGGTAGAGAATCCTGAATAAAGGTTGGATATTGGAAGCAGTTGCCTCAGAAGAATGAAAAACTTGTTCCAGGGTAGCTGTCAGGAGCAGCATGAAAATAGGAAACAGCAAAATTCTTTCCTGCTCCTGCTTTTTTTATTTCTTCTAGTCCTTTTAATGGATCTTAACAAAAATTTAGGTGGCAAAGGAAAAATGTAATTAACATGTTCCCAATCTCAACACTACGCAGTTGAGTATAGAATAGCAGTTTGGAACAATGGAAATAAAAAACAGCTAATAACCAGCGCACTTAACCATTTATTCTTCGACCAAATTACTTTTGAGCATGAAGGGGCTTGAAAGAGACTATCATTGCTTTTGAACAATAGTTTCATTTTCAGCCATCCTAGGTAAACTAGGATATATGGTTGGAAGATTAATCATTATTTCTGAGATGTTTTAAACCTGTTTCCTTTGTACTTAAACATATAAGTATAAAAATAATTTTCACATGAATTTACAACTAAGTTTTATAAAGAAAATATCTTTTAAAACATTTAGAAATAGTGCTGCTGTGTTCCATACATATATAGGTATTCACATACATTAATGTATTTTAGTAACCTTCTTGGGATAGATACTGTTGGATTGTCTTTATTTTTATTTTTTTAAAAAGATTTTTATGTATACAAGAACTGTGCTACAGGTCAGAGGCATAGGAGGGTGAGAGAATTCACCAGAGACAGAGCGGGGAACAGAACAGGTAGACTGATGAAATACACCACTGAGGAGAGCAGTGGGTGAGACAGGAGAGGTCTGCCATGCCATGTGGGTATCTCCCTGGCCAGCCACTGATCGAACCCACGCTGCAGGGCCTGCAGACAGCTTCACAGCGCAGTGCTCAACCCGCTGTGCCACCAGGGAGACCTGATAGTCTTTATTTTACACACAAGAAAACCAAAGTTTAGAGGGCATAAGTGATTTGTTCAAGGTAACAGGAATTGGAATTTTTTCCCAAGTTTTCTGACTCCTCTTAAAACTGTTAGCTGATAGTGTCTCCTTACAATGGCTTACAAACTATCTCATGGTATAATAGATCATACCTTACTACAAAGCTATATATAAAAGAATTTGGAATTCATAAGCTCAGCAGCAAAAACATTTATTAATATTTATGCTTAATCTAGCATGGTATTCACTGTTCTTTACATGTTATTCCATGTGAGTTGGTGCTAGAGCTCCCAAAGCTAGTAATCTTAGATGTATTTTTATAGTCATGGAGATCAGCACGATGAAAAAGTAGATGTCTGGGAAAGAAATATATTAAGCAAGTACTTAATGAGAAAGTGCATATTGAGTAGAGAAGAAAGGGTTTTCATTTTCAGAAGAAATGTTAGGAAAACATTTTTTCCAATTTTGTGGAAATTTGTCTTAGGGACTGCTCAAATGAGGGAAGAACTCTTAAATTTTTAGGAAATGGAAATAAACCTGTATTTAGGAGTGTGGTTGCTATCAACCTTCAAGGTGAGGAGGAAGGAGCCAGATTTGTGAGCCCGAGCCTTCGGGTCTAATGCAAAGCTCTTGTCGGTCCAAGTGGAGGTGCATTAGTTAGGGTGTCAGTAGAAATATCAATTGTTCAGGATTTGGGTTGCAAGCAGTAATTCTTATAATGAAATAAGGCAGTCATGGGTGAAAACTTATTTGGGTATTGAAGATCTTGATTAAGCAGACTAAGTTTACCCATTCAAATAGAGGTAGTTTATTTCCTGATCATTTTAGTCATCTGTCATCCTCTAGTTAAAACATTGATTGAAAACTTCCTCCAAGGTGCTATTAAAGATTGCCAAGTAAAATATAAAACTGATGAAGCCAAGTCCTCTATGAGATTAATATATTCATATTAGAGTTAACGTCTGTAAGATGTACACTTGTAATTCTGGATATTATCCAATTGCTTATAAAAATCCAGATTTTTTTCTTTAAAACTCTGGAAACCTGTATGTCTATTCTGAGACTATAGAAAAAAAATTTCATTATATGATAAGTTTAGAAAGAATCCTGACATTTTATAGAATCAAATAGCAACAGGGATATTTTCACTTTATATTTTAAAATATTTTAAAATTAATTTTCTTTATAATAAAGGATGCTTAGTAAAATCCCTGGAATCAAACATGTCTAATTTTAATATGCTTGTAACATTTGTCCAACATACCACTCTGTTCTCTGAAAAGAGCAATTTTTTTTCCACTGTATGGCATTACCATCAACATGGAACTTCCAAAGGGTCCATGTAAGTCTGACAGGTAGGAAATGTGTACTGTTGTAGAACATAGATTTGGGTAATTTGTGATGCCAGCCTACCCCTCCCCCTTCCCCCCCCCCCCCGCCCCCAGATGGATGGCTCTTTAGAGTAAAAATCACTCAAATCATCAGCAAATTGCAGATAATACAAATATTTCCACAATGTATTTTGTACCATTTGAGGACCTCCTTCAATTTTAACGGCAGTTTAAAGATTGCAGTTGACCTATTAAGGTCAGTCTTTCATTAAAAAATACATTTTTGTCTTGAAAGTTCATTTATTTAAAGTCCCTGCTAAACAGACTAAACCATACTTTAAACAATATACACATTTTTTCTTTTCTATTAATATTGAAAATGTTTATTAAGTCTGAAATAGCTGATCAAAACTAAATTTCCCCGGAGATTTTTTTGTATGCCAGTCTTTCTGGAAGATAATTGTGGCTAATCTAAGTCCAGAGGGATGGTGGAACATTTTTCAACACTGGCAATTTTTACCTTCAAAGGGAAAAAACAAACAAACAAACAAAAAACAAAACAAAAAAAAACCCAAGATTTGGATTGTAAGGATTTTCTTTATTAAAGAAAATGTTCAGATCTAATTGATTAATTTCACTGCTATAGCAAAGATTTTTTAAAAATTGGGAAAGTTTTAAAAACTAGAAAACTATTCTACCACATTTGATTTTGGGAAAAATATTTGTGGAAATGTTTGTGAACTATGAAATTATATTAGAATAGAAATTGTTTAAATATTAGCCTTTTTCTGTGATTTGGAATTACTGTTCCTTGGACCCAAGTGACCTACAGTTCTACAGTCTGGTCCTGGAAATTCTGGGATCTCCAAGGCCTGTAGGCGACTGCCAGTTAGCTAGGATATTGCAGGGGAAAAACTTCTAAATCCATCTTAGTTTCTGCTTTGGAGTATTCAGAAACTGATGATCAAGGCAAGTGTTCAACCCATTTTGAAGGAAGTATATTCTTAAGGATCCTGGAATTCTCAAACTAGAGATGTTATAGAAATCTCATACTGTTAATATTTTGCCAAAGTAATACTATTTCTATTGGGTGGAAATAACTTTAAAAGTCATGATTTTTATTTTTACACAAATTATAACAGTTAAAATATTAAAATAATTAAAACTAATTTTGATTCCCAGCAGCTATTTAGTATAGGGTCTTCCAAATGTTTAAGTCATATGAAAAAGAGATAGAAAAGGCAATTCTTTTTCTTCATGAGTTCTTAGTTTCTATTTTTTTAAATATCTTTTTTTTTAGATTTATTTATTTATTTATACAAGCAACAGGGTACAGTCAGAAGCGCTGGAGGTGAGAGAATCACCAGAGCCATAGCGGGGAACAGAACAGGCAGACTCACGAATCACACTGCTGAGGGGAGCAGCGGGCGTAGCAGGAGAGGTCTGCTTGCTATGTGGGGCCCTCGCCCTGTGGCCAGGGATCGAACCGGCGCTGCAGAGGCTGTGGGCAGCTTTGCAGCCCAGCGCTCAACTGCTGCACTACCAGGGGAGGCCTGTAGTTTCTTTCTTTTTTTTTTTTTTTAAGTAAGTGTATCTTGTCTTGTTCCAAAAAAAAAAAAAAAAAAAAGAATTTATAGCAAACTTTTCCAGCACAAAACAGATTAAGTGAGTAGCAATAGGTCACAAACTAGATGGAAAGAAGAGACATGTGCCAGTTTCAGTTAATCAGAATTAATTTCAAAGTGTTTTTAAGTTGCCTATGGTTAAGACACAGCAGAAGGCCTCCCTGCTGTTGCAGCGGTTGAGCACTGGGCTGTGAAGCTGCCCGCAGCCTCCGCAGCGCCGGTTCGATCCCCGGCTGCCGGCCAGGGTCGCACATGGCGCACAGACCTCTCCTGCTGCACCCGTGTTCCCCTCAGCAGTGTATTTCGTGAGTCTGCCTGTTCTGCTCCCCGCTCTGTCTTTGGTGAATTCTCTTACCCTCCCGCGCTTCTGACTGTACCCAGTGCTTGCATAAAGTAAATAAATAAATCTTAAAAAAAAAAAAAAAACTCCTTAAAATAAAAAAGACACAGCAGAGACAGAACAAGGATTGTTTCCCCATTACAATTTGCCCCCTTTTATTATTTTTGTTTTCCCCAATAGTGAGTTTATTGGGAAGTATCTGCATTGGTGATGGAAATCAACACTGAGCTTGGATTGTAAGGATTTTCAATCCACTGAGCTTCTCCGTTCTCCAGCACATCCCCCCAACTCTACACTATAGGGGAAGGAAAATGGTAGGCTTCTGATATGCCTTAGTGTTGTTAATCTCTTCACTAATTAATCTGTTCCTAAGTAATCATTTAAGTTTTCCCAGGGACCCAGGATGAGGTAAAAGGTGAATGAGGACCTTCAGGTGAAAAAAAAAAAAGTATGATTTACAACATTAATATAGAAATTTCTGTATTGCAAGTGATTTCACATACTATTGCCCAATGATGTATACCCCATATGCTACTTTCAAAACAAAACCTAGAAACATGAACTAAGGGAAATAAAATTGATGACAGATATGACTCAATAGCTTAAAACATGGCTGAGGATTCTGATGAATTCAGGATGAAGAGAACACTAACAACTGCTTGAGAGGTTCTGAACCCAAAGAAAGCTAAAGCTAAAGATTAAGGGGTGGTCGGAAAAAACTGGCATGAGTTCCAGGAAATGATGAGAATCAGTGAAACACTAATGACTAAGGACTGCTGAATAGTTATTGGCCTCTGTTCAGGTGGTTTATTAACAATCTGATCTTGGATATTCTGGAGTCTCCAAGAATTCAAGAGTATAGGAATTAGTTAAAGATAATTATCTTAATTCAGTTTTTGCCCCGGGACTGACTCTGCTTGACCTTAGTATACAAAAAGGCATAAAATGAAATCTAGCAGGGTTCCATACTGTGCTAAGGTCATTATGAGTGTGCATCCACTGATGGAATTGAATGTAACACCTGCTTTTGGTTTTGTTTCAAGACTTTACGTTTCATGAGTAGAGAGAGTTGGCACATATATTATTCCCTTTTGTATTACTTATTGGGGTATTAATCCATGTAACATAACAATGACAAGTATTTATCTCTTGGTACTTCAATTTGGTAATATTGTGAGTTTTCAATGAACAGTAAGTATTTTTACATTTAAGGAGTTATTTGCCTTGTTTAGATTAGTAGTTACGGACCAATAAAATGATTCACTAGCTAGATTTTTGTAATCTGTGAATCTAATTTCTAAAAGCTTTACCATGTTGCATACTTAGTTTTGTTAAACTCTATTAACTAAGTCTTTGTTTTGAGGATGGTCTTTTTAGTGGCAGGCATTTTGTTTCTTGCAGTTATGAATATACTCAGTACAAGTTTATCTGTAGATCTGTGATAGTCAATCCAGAGGCCTTCTGATCTCCTTTCTTTAATCAGCTAATTCTTCTCTTAACCCTCTCCCTGTGCATTTTTCAAGGAAGTATCTAATTTGATATTGAAATGTGAATAGTGATTTGTAAAGAGAAAACTAGGACAAAGTGTATTTTCAACCTCCACTAGGGGGACCTATTGTTGCAACTAAAATATTGAATCTGAGGAAGAACTTTCATTTTACATGACAGCTATATATTAGTTTTTATTTTTTTAAGCATACACACATTTGGAAAAATGCTTTTTATTCCACTTAATGTTATATCTCATGTTATACTTTTATTTTTACATTTATATAAAAATAGAGAAATAAAATTTTCTTGATTTGAGATTGATTTTTTGATGAGATTTTAACCTTTTTTTTAAGCAGAATGATTGTGAGATGAAAAGATAAGCTCACTCTTTATTTTAGAATAATTTGTGTTTAGAATATCTATAGGATGACCTACTTAGAGCAGGAAAAAAACCTTTTCCACAAAAGAAATATTTCTAAATTTTGCCAATGCAGTATATTTCAGCCCCTATTCCACTGGCTTTTGTCTGGGATTTAAAGGCTTATAATTGTTATAAAATATTTTTATTCATACTATAATATTTATGTAAAAAGTAAGTTCTGTAATCATAATCTTGATAAATCTGCTTGTTTGTTTTACTTCTAGTTGTGAGGACATTCTGTTGTGTGTTTTCAGATTAATACATGATCTTTTAGCATCAAGTGCTATCTGATTTTTTGTGCTCACATCTTAATATCCCTTACTATTTCTTATGGTTCAAATAATTATATTTCTATATTCTAGTTGTTTTTTTTTAAGATTTATTTTATTTATACAAGAGCTGGGGTACAGGCCAGATGCGTGGGAGGGTGAGAGGATTCACCAGAGACAGACAGAGCGGGGAACAGAACAGACAGACTGACAAAATACACTGCTGAGGGGAGCAGCGGGAGAGACAGGAGAGGTCTGCTCGCCGTGTGGGTTGCTCCAAAGGCTGGCGGGAATCGAACTGGCTCTGCCGCACAGTGCTGCGCTCAACCGTCTGTGCCACCAGGGAGGCCCTCTAGTTTTTTTTAATTTGTATGACTTCCTGATTTTATTGATTAGAAATAATTTACATTAATGGCTCTCAGTGGTGAGCAAAGTTTAGCAATACTGTGGGACAGATATTACGGCTATCCCCACTTTTCAGATCAAACAACTGAGACAGAATGACACATTACTTGACTAAGTTAGTATATTCTGCCTTCTGATTACAAACCCAATATTCTTCCCACAATATCAGGTTGATTTTTAACATGTTGCAGATATGGACTAATCTTTGTTACAAGCATAATTATTTTATCTAGACTAGTGACCCCTTAATTTGAGTTAGTTTGCATTCTGACCAGACATGTTCTTCTGTGTGAGAAATGCCATGCTCTAGATAATTTATTTGAATAATTTCCATTGTCATTAAGAAAAGCCAACATGTGGCATTTTCGATGTAAGACACTTTTTTTTTTTTTTGCTGGTTCTGTTATAATACGTTAGGTTCAATAATGTTTTAAGGATTACTGGATTTCTGCTTATATGTGTGCACACACACGCATGTCAACACATACACTATTTTCTCTCCAGAGAAAAGTCGTAATTGTACATTATGAAGAACTGAATGCAATTCAGCAAAAAGAAATGAAAATGTATCACATATAAAAAGTTTTATTTATACTAAGAGGAATGCAAAATTAAAGTACATTGATATAACACTATCTAGCTAATTATTTTTGTACTATACCCTGGTAAAATGCTAAGAGGTAAGGGAGTTGGTAACTAAATAAAGCAGACTGGCACTCTTCCACAGTTGGGATTCCACAGTTGGTACCCATCACTATAGAGGGCGATTGCTAGTATCTACAATCATTAAATATATGTGGACCAGCAACATGTTTCTTGGAATTAAGCCTATGGATATACTTATACACATGCAGAACTATTTATGTTTACAACTGTTCATAGGTTTGTTATAGCAGTAATTGGAAATAAAGCAAATGTTTTTTGACAGAATTCTCTTTAGTGGAATATTATACAACTATTAAAAATGAGAATGAGAAAACTCTGGACTAATAGGCAAAGAATTTTAACCAATATTAAATGAAAATTGGAAACATTTACACTTTTAAATTACTTTTGTGTTAAAAGAGACTAATAAGGTATATTCTTGTCTTGTTTTGTATAAAGAAACTTAAAAAAGACTAATATGCAAAGGGCTAAGAAAAGTACTATCTGTTTGGAATTGGAGGCAACTGGGTAGCTGAGGGAAGGGTAGAAGGAACACTTATTTTCTTTAGAACCATGAAAATATTCTACCTATTGAAAAAAATGCATGTGAGAAAGAGAAAATATGTAAGGCAGAGATTAACTAGACACATGTACTTTTGTTCTCAGAGAGTAAAGAAATATTTTTTAAAAGGCACGTGTAGACAAAGAAATAGAAAATGGAAGAGGAAGAAACAGCAAACCTTTAGAGACTGGAAAACACATGAATGAATGGTACTGATTCAGCAGACCTAGAAAGTCAAATTCTTTGCTGGCAGTGCAAAAGCTGAGATTTCACATTGCAGAATATCTTAAAGGTTCAAGAGTTGGTTTTTCCAGGTACTTCTGGAAATAAGATTGAAGGCAGGACTAAAAATGGTTTGTTTGCTTGAAAACCTCCTTAAGAAGCACTTACATTCCTGGCAAATTCCCTGCCCCAATCTCTAGGTTTTGTCTCTAGAATGAGTGAAAACAAAACAAAACAAAACAAAAAACCAAACCAAACCAAAAAAAAAAAAAAAAAAAAAGCAAAAACCAGAAACAAAAACCTCAAAACTCTCTGGGTTAAGATATATAGGGAAGTGGGCCTCCCTGGTGGTGCAGGGCTTAAAATCTCAGTGCTATCAGGCTATGGCCAGCCACTGCAGCATGAGTTCAATCCCCGGCCAGGGAGCTAACCCACATGGCACAGCAGACCTTTCCTGTCTCACTCACTGCTCTCCTCAGCAATGTATTTCAGTAGATTCCCTGTTCTGTTTCCCACTCTGTCTCTGGTGAATCCTCTCACCCCATACACCTCTGGCCTAGACCCCAGTTCTTGTATGAATAAATAAAAAATAAATCTTTTTAAAAGTAGATATACTAGGAAGAAGTTGGGGCTGGGAGTGGGATGGGCAGCAACTTGCTGTAAATCAAGTGTTTGAGTATTTGCATATTGAATACCAAGACTCTCTTCCTCATCTTTCTTTCCCCATTTGGCTTCCAGAGTGTTGACAGTTCAGTCTAAGCAGAAGATACTTCTTTGTGAAATCTGATGAGTGAAGAGAGAAGACATCTGGGGAATCCAATGAAATGACCAGCCAGAATCCTCTACAGTAAAGCTAACAGTTGACAAGTGCTAGTGTGAACTCAGCTTTCAAACAACTTTTTAAAAAGGTACTTCACTCTTAAATATGAAAAACCAAGCATCACTAAGTAACTGAGGAAAGCTTTTAACATGAAAGATAAAGACAGTAGTGGATGCTGTGTTGCACTTCTCAGGTCTGTGCTTCAAGGCCTGAGGCACTCTTTCCTCCAGTTGCTGGTAATGTTGACTGATGAGGACTCACAATTGAGTAGCTGAAAGGTGTCACCTTACCCAGGATTACATCCCAACACCTCGAGCACTCCACTTCCATAGTCTGGTTAAGATGTAGGCTGTGTATGGGGTTGGGGGTCACAAAAACATGGTTCCTTTCTCTCTATTAGGAGGAACTCTGATGGGCTATTCCAGCTCCAAAGCTTCCTGTGGGATTGACTTTGGCAACTGCATCACAGTTTGGCATCTCAATCGGTCCAATTCTCCTCTCCTCATTTAAAGGTATTATTCCTGAAGACCCTTCCCAATTAACCACTGTCCTTAAACCCCTAAACCACCTTTTTTAGGAAACACTACCTATGATGGAATATCAAATAAACAAAGAAAAAACAAATAAATAGAAAAAAGTAGAGGAAAAAGATTAATATTTTCCAATAAGAGATTATATTCATGATACAACAAAAACCAGACACCATAAGAAGAATGTAAAAGGACTTTGGAGACTAAAAATATATATATATATATATATATATATATTTATATAAAAAATATATATAGTGGTGAAATGAAAAAACTTAATAGGTTAGTTTGGAGATCAAATTGAGGAACTCTCAGTAGGAAAAAAACAGAAAAGAAAAAGTGTTTTTGAAGGTTAGTCTAAGTAGCTAGTATCTGAATGAAAGACATTTCTTCCTTATTTGGAAGTTTCTGGATGTTATATTCCCCTACAATGAGGAATGTAATAAGAAACTTAAAGATGTGGTGTCCATGAAAGAAGGATCTATCATAAGAGCAAAATAAAATCTCCCTGATGTTGGTTAAGGGACACATCAAGATGTTGGCTGTGTTGTAGGCTTAGAGATTGACTGAAAGCATTGTAAGATACTACATCAAGAAGATTAAATCACTAGAATACCCAATGTGAATAGAACATTGAGAAGATGTAGCAACTTTCAGAGTCTGGGGTTAAGTTGGTGATAATTACACAGAAAACTAAGTGGGTGTGAAAACAAGCCCCTATTACTAACGCTAGGGAAATGAAAACTTACACATGAAAGAAATAATGTTTTTTAGTGCTTGGCTATTCCAAAAGACCTATACATAGTCACAAAGGTAAAATGTTGAATATTGACCTAACCAAAATTTATGAAATCATAATATTACGAGGATAAGGGAATTGTGTATGTGTGTATATGTGTCCACAACATGCATATATGTTTTTGCCAGGGTTAGAAGAACTAAGTGTTTATTTTTGATAGATAGTAGTATCAATATGAGAATGGAGCACAATTTAGCATTAAGAACATGAATTTTGTTTTTTTTTTTTTTAGAATGAGAGTTCTTATTTTTTTTTTTTAATTTAAAAAGATTTATTTATACAAGCACTGGGTACAGACAGAAGCACGGGAGGGTGAGAGAATTCACCAGAGCCAGAGCTGGGAGCAGAGCAGGCAGAAGGACCGAAGTACACTGCTGAGGGGAGCAGCGGGCAGCAGGAGAGGTCTGCATGCCATGTGGGACCCTCCTCCAGTGGCCGGGGAGCAGCCGGGGATAGAACCGGCGCTGCAGAGGCTGCGGGCAGCTTCGCAACCCAGCGCTCAACCGCTGTGCCACTGGGGAGGCCCTGAATTTTGGTTTTAATGTTTAAATCATATCTCTGCTATGTCCTATCAGTATGACTTCAGGCATATTTGACTTCTTTGTGCATTAGTAGACATCTGAAAAATGGATAAAATGATAATGCGCATCTGACAGGGTCATTGTGGATAACATATGCGCTGAAAACATCATCATACAGTTATACAGTAATGGCTATATAAATATTTCCAATTTGTATTGTTTGTTATGGGTTAAATTCTGTCACCTCCCCAAATCCATATGTTGAAGCCCTAACCTCCAGAATTTCAAAATGTGACAGCACTTGGAGGTAAGATCTTGAAGAGGTATTTAAGTTTAAATGTTAAATGTTAAGAGGTATTTAAGTTTAAAGTTGTTTAGGGTAGGCACCAGTCTAATCTGTCTGGTAGCCTCATAAAAAGAGAAAAGCACCAGGGATGCATGGACACAGAAAAGACCATGTAAGGACACAGCATGTTCTTCTCACAGATGGCACACAAAGAAGGCAGATGTCTGCAGGCTAAGGAGAGATATCTCAGGAGAAACCAAACCTGCTGACACTTTGCTCTCAGACTTCTGGCCTCCAGAACTGTGAGAAAACAAATTTCTGCTATTTAAGCCACTCAGTTTGTAGTATTTTGTTATGGTGACCCTAGCAATCTAATACACTACCATATTGACAAATGATTTTTATTTAGTTATTTTATTTATTTATTTATTTTTTTATTTATACAATAGCTGGGGTACAGGCCAGAGGCGCAGGAGGGTGAGAGGATTCACCAGAGACAGAGTGGGGAGCAGAACAAGCAGACAGACCCAAAACACTGCTGAGGGGAGCAGCAGGCTCGACAGAAGAGGTCTGCCAGTCTATGTGGGAATCTCCCTAGCCGGCCGGGAATGGAACCCGTGCTGCAGAGGCTGTGGACAGCTTCACAGCACTGTGCTCAACCCGCTGGGCCACCGGGGAGGCCCTCAAATGATTTTTATTTTATTTTAATTTTTTAAAAGATTTATTTATTTATGCATACAAGAGCTGGGGGCACAGGCTGGAGATGCAGGGGCGTGAGAGGATTCACCAGAGACAGAGTGGGGAAGAGAACAGGCAGATCTACTGAAATACACTGCTGAGGGGAGCAGCAGGCGAGACAGGAGAGGTCTGCTGTGCTATGTGAGTTGCTCCCTGGCCAGGGATTGAACTTGTGCTGCAGTGGCTGTGATTGCTTCATAGTGCTGTGCTCAACCCCTTGTGCCACCAGGGAGGCCCAAGGATCATATTTTTTCTATTATGTTTCCATATATTTTCCTTTGTCTGACCTGTTTTCTCTACTGTGGCCCTTCTTTTATTCCAGTTAGTGTGCTTTTGCATACAAGTAATAGAAGTGTTTAACCATAAGGAAATATTTTCTCACATAAAAAGAAATCTTTACATGATTGGTTCTAGGAAGGCTATCTAGTTCTTTAGCTCAATGACATATTAAGGGTCAAGTCTTTTTCTCTATTCTGGACTGCTATTTTTAACATGCTGGCTACTATTCTCAGATATGCAAGGTAATTGACTGCAGAGTTCCAGGCCTCCTGTCCTTATAAACAGTATCTAGAAGCTGCATGGGAAAAGGAGATATCCATATTCATGTCCCTGTCTAAGAAAAGAGCATTTTGTCCTTCTGACTTATTTTGCTTAGTATAATTTCTTGCAAATACTGGACAGTGTCACTTACATGTAGAATATAGAGAAACCAAACATAGGGTCAGATAAAGCCAAACAAAGAACTAACCCTAGAAAGTTGACTACAGCACTGAGGCTACCAGAGGGGAGGCAGAGAGGGTGTAAGCAAGAAGAGGGAGTACAACGGACTATGGCGGTAACTATGGGTGTTTTTTTTTTTTTTTTTAATAGAGGCATGTTTTATTTATTTATTTATTTATTTGTCTGTTTTGTTTATACATGCACTGGGTACAGTCAGAAGCGCGGGAGGGTGAGAGAATTCACCAGAGCCAGAGCGGGGAGCAGAGCAGGCAGAAGGATCGAAGTACACTGCTGAGGGGAGCAGCGGGCGGCAGGGGGGGGTCTGCGCGCCATGTGGGACCCTCCTCCAGTGGCCGGGGAGCAGCCGGGGATCGAACCGGCACCGCAGAGGCCGCGGGCAGCTTCGCAACCCAGCGCTCAACTGCTGCGCCACCGGGGAGGCCCGACTATGGGTGTTTAATGAGGGGTGCAGTGACTGATAACATGGGAGGAGGAGATCCTGTACTACTTTTTTTTAAAGATTTATTTATTTATACAAGAACTGGGGTACAGGCCAGATGCGCAGGAGGGTGAGAGGATTCACCAGAGACAGAGCAGGGAACAGAGCAGGCAGATTGGTGAAATACACTGCTGAGGGGAACAGCAGGCTTGACAGGAGAGGTCTGCGGCTCCATGTGGGACCCTCCCCTGCCTGGCGGAATCAACCGGCTCTGCAGAGGCTGCGGACAGCCTTACAGCGCTGTGCTCAACCACCTGCACCACCAGGGGAGGCCCGATCCTGTACTTCTAATGTACAAACAATGATGTAAACCAATGTTACTTCAATAAAAGTAAGTAAATAAAATACTTTTTTTAAAAAAGGAACATTTTGCCAGAAGTCGGGGCATGTCTCTCCTTACATCTCAATGACCATGATTTGTCATATGTCATTCTTAAACCAGGTTGTCAGAGTGATGGAATTAGCATTTGTGGTTTAATCCAAATCATACTCATTCTTTGAAGTTGGGGGAGGGCATAGGTTCTGCTGAAACAGAACTCTAACTCATACTTGTATACTGGATTATATTAGTAAAGAATAAAGGAGGAGAAAAACAAATGTCATGCAAGAGGAAAGAAGAAGTATACACTTTAGCGGCATTTCTGGGAAAATAGGATTGGAAAGCAGAATGTTATTTCACTGGGAAAAAAATAGAGAGAAAGGGAGCAAAGGCTGCACATTCAGGGGTTTAAATTTGGGGTGGGGTATTACAGGCTGGGTCTAAGGACGGGGAATCATCCATATTCTAGTAAAGTGGTCTATAATTCTGTCTTCTCAAGACAAAGCCTACGAAACTGCAAGTCTTTTGGAGAAGTCCTGAAATTAGAATAAAACCTCTTGTCACTATGTAAAAGATTAGATGACTGAACAATGGGTGAAGGATCTGTTAATTGTGTGCTAATTCCATATGATCTGAAGTTCCTAAAGATTGTGGATTGTGTGTTTAGAGACTTTAGTGTAGGCCAACGACTCTCTGGGCTGCATCCAAAAGAACTGACAAAACCTGCTGCACTGCAGGGAGTCCCCCAAGCTACTGCCATAGAATATGGGCTTTTCACTCCACATCTACTCTCCAGAAGGGGAAAGAGGAAAGGAAGGCAAAAAACAGTCCTGACAGGGCTTTGAGTTTTGTATTGACTGAATATTTATAGCAAAATGCAATTAACTGAGTAACATTTAACTGACAAGCGTCTCTGGTCTACTGGTATAGGATTCCAGAATAAGAGATCAGTTAATAGAAAAAAATTACCATTTTTGCTCTCCTCAAAGTATATGAAGTTTAGTCCTGATATATTTTACATATTTCAGGATTATCTTCTCTTTACCTTTTGGGGGAAATATTTTGAGAAATTGGAAAAGGAAAGGTGAAATGTGAAGATG